AAAATGTACGTTATTTATCAGGACATCTGTTTCTGGCGGAATTATCTCCATGTCGCAAATGTCACGGAATTTAATTTATCGCCGCCGAGAGCGGAGCCGGTCAGGAGAGGTTTGCCAACCTTCTCTTCTCTTCTCTCTACTGTCATCTAGGTGAAAAACTGTCGCTCCAAAAAAGGCCTTAAACAGTGCCTAGGAGGTCTGAAATGCAGTCAGAATACAAAGAAAAACAAGAGGACGCTAAAGGTAAGCTTCAAAGCGATATTCAATGTACATTTTGCTAATTTAGTGAGCAAAGAATATTTCTCCATACAACGTCTTATAATTTTCTTGCTGTATGAATAATTAATTAGCTAAGTAGGATAATGTTGTTCAGGGCTCTCATAGTGAGCTTGGGCTACCTGTGTTTAAAGGAGCTTAGCCTGCGTGGCAGGCGCAAAAAGGGGAGGGGGAGGGGGGAGGGAGAAAGGGAAAAGGGAAGGGAAAAGGGTCCACTCCCCCTCTCCCCAATCCCCCTCCCCTTTTTCCCTTCCTCCCTATCCTCTACCCCCTACCCCTTTCGACGCCTGCTACGCAGGCTAAAGGAGCTCGTTGAATCGAAGGTAACGGCTGACATCGACGGTTTGCCGCTCAACAGCGAAGGCTACGAGAGAGCGAAGAACATACTCAAGGGAGAATACGGTAAAACCGGCGAAATTATCAACGCATACGTTCATAATATTTTGGAGTTCCCCATCGTGACAAGCCCCGATCCGAAGAGGGTGAAAGCTTTTTACAAGACCTTATTACACAAAGTACAATGGCTGGAAACTCCCACTGGGCAAATTGGAGCGAGTGAATGGAATGTCAACGAGGGTCCTCAAAAATACTAAATGGGATTAAAGCCGATCTTGTGGAGGTGAAGCAGGGTGGCAAGACTGGGATTTACCTCGTCTAGTTCTAGCTCTAAAGAAATAGAGAGATATCCGTTCAGTGGGGAAAGAGAGCAACAACGTCCCTTAAGGCAAGTCTTGTTTTTACCACGCAGTAGCCTGAGTATCAGGCGTTTCTGGGGGAAGGCCTGATACTCAGGCTACCACGCAGAGGAACGAAAATCTCGCGCGCGTGTTTACCGTCAGAGTGGAGATCATTTCGTCTACGTGTACGCGCGTGACTACCCTGGAGGAAAGGAAGAAATCTCTGGCGCAAAAGGGAACGTGTTTCAACAAGAGCTCTTGGCTTCAATTGCACCGGAACCAGGAGCGACCGGAACTAAGCATCATGCTGCCCATTGCATGTCAGAAATGTTGCGAAAAGCACAATACATACATCTGTGCCCAGGAAGATCAACTCTTAACCGCCACCGCCACCTGTCACAAAGAACGTGTGGCTTACCCCAAACTACCAGAGAATCAATGATTCCTACGCTCACCTCCAGGTGGTGCATATGGACGACAGTGATTCCAAACCTCACCTGCCAGTCCACCTTATCTTGGGCGTCAGTGAATATGCGGCTGTAAAACGATGCTAGGTTATTATATTTTGGAATCGATTGCCAGATTACTTTGTAAGTGCAAGAGAAGCTTATAAGTCGCTTGCCTGTCGAAAGTAAGTACGTTGTTATTGTTGTGGCCGGATACTGGGCCAGCTGTCCGGATACTTGGCAACATAGGAGCTCTGCAAAAACATAAATTTCGCGATGGAAACAAAGGCAAAAAGGTTAAACTGTCTTTCGTCATATTAAGGACTAAATAGATTTTCTCTGGGCCAAATTTCAGAATTCTTTCGACTAATATGTAACAAATCAACAGAGGGAAGTTATTGCAATGTTAAACTAAAGTGTCCGGATACTGGGCAACATACTGTAAATAAATGATTATTACTAGTTCATAGAATAGTGTTAATGTAAGAAATAAGTTAATACCTACCCACAATTTCCCCGTTCAACGTGTTCGGTAGTTGGTGGGCGAGTATATAAACCAACAGGATCTTTCTCCACAGTGACATTTTTTTCTTGGGTGTCTTGTAGTTGTCGATGTGCGCTCTGTGAATGGGATGACCTTTTTAAATGTGTGTAAACTTTCGAAGTCTTAATTCACCTTCCCTTACCAATTTCACGAACAATCTGCTCCAACTTGTTGGCGGTGTTTAGTATTTGTTGGTATTTCGTGTGCTACACAATAGGCCCTTTGCATGAGTTGATCACGTGATCATGCAACTTTCGGTAAACGCGGAAACAGTAGTAGCACGAGCTAAAAGAACGAACATTAAGTCCACAAAGGACTGCATTTTCTTTGCGAGACTTCAACTTGACACTTGGACATCTTGCCCTCCAAGATACATGTGATATGCCGTGATTCTATGGGTGTTGGGAGTTCAATTGGGAGTTCTAAGTTACGGCTTACATCGGAGTGCGCGGGTTATTTCATAGCCGATCCCCTCTCTGCCTGTTACGCCATGCTGTTGAGCTACAACTGAATGGCAAAACAGCTGTCCATGGCTACAATCCCGCTCTGTTTTGAGTTCCTTCGGTTTCGCGTTGATGTCTTGCAAAAGTTAATTTTCACGTACACTCTTTTTTTTTTAATAAGAATATATTTTATAAGAATATCGAGGCTGAAATTTGCGAAATTTTAAGAATATTTTAATAATAAAGCCGAGGCTGAGATTTTGAAAAGGATAGATATAATTTTGTGTGCGAAATGCTTTTTTTAAAGCCAAAACGGCCAAGGGTCGTTTGACGTGACATCTTGACCTCGCTGACTGCAACGAAAAGCGATGGAGCACGTGCACAATGTAACGCGAACAGATCTAGATACCAAACACATAATTGATACCCCAATAAATTTTAAGAATAATACAAGAATATTTTAAGCCTAAAATCGGCAGAAAAATAAGAATATTCAGCCTGGGCCGGAAAAATAACATTCTTATAAAAAAAAAGAGTGTAGTACGATCAGCATTGCAGTATTCTGTTTGCAGAATTAAATACGTCACGAGCTGAAAATTTTCATCCATATACAGTGAAACCTCTATTAAGCGGACACCCAATTAAGCTGACACCCTCTATTAAGCGGACACTGAGCCGGGTCCCGAAATTAACGTCTATATATTTCCCTTTATAATGAACCTCTATGAAGCGGACACCGGACTGAATTGACAATAGTAGTATTGGATTACTTCCCTGAATTACATACTGCGGACGCCTCTATTAAGCGGACGCGGGCTGTAAAATAAGTCGTATTTGGCTAATTTCTATCGTTAAAAACCTCTACTAAGCGGACACCGAACTGAATTGACAATAGTAATATTGGATTACTTCCCTGAATTACGTACTATGGACACCGAACTGAATTGACAATAGTAATATTGGATTACTTCCTTGAATTACGTACTGCGGACACTTCTATTAAGCGGACGCGGGCAGTAAAATAAGTCGTATTTGGCTAATTTCTATCGTTAAAAACCTCTATTAAGCGGACACGGAACTGAATTGACAATAGTAGTATTGGATTACTTCCTTGAAATACGCACTGTAGTCCATTAATGAAGAAAAATCAATACATTTAGCTGTCAATAAACTGTAGATTATACCAATATCCAGCAGTATAATTGTCATCTGCGATCAAAGTTCACCTAAAAGTCTTGCGCAAAGTACAGCACAGCGTCCTAGTTTTCTCAATTACAGTACAGAGTACAGACAAGTGCTAGTGACAAAGGGAGTGAAACTGTAGTCTACTAATAGATTTTGGGGGCCATACCTGTGCTTAAACTTCTCCAGAGGCTTTCTTTAGATTTTCAATATGTTTATCTGCTGTTTTTCCCCGGGAAATTTTTACAGAGAAATGTATGAAAAATTTTCAAAAGTGGTTCTAGGTCTTCTAGCGCATGTAAGGCCCTCAAATTTTTTCAGTAGAATCCTTATGAGTGAAGCATTAGTTTACACTAGGCCACTTCCGAGTTCCAAAAACCCTCACTTTCAAAATGAGGCCAAGTGCACAACCTTTCTTGTGAAAATGAGTTTTCTTTGCATGAGCCGTGAAAAATCATTTCCATATCAAAGGATGAGCACTTAACCTCGTTTTGGAAATTATTCGACACTGGATTCTCATACAAACACTGTAATTTCTCATGCGTTTGCCTACTCGTCAAGATGGCGTCGAAAACCGTGACAAGGTCTAATTATATCTGTTCTGTCATCCTAGGGCAACTTGAGTCTTTTCGAAACTAGTACCAGGACTTCAGTATTTTCCCGAAAATTTTAGATGCAATTTAAAGTTTTACGAAAGTGAATTTTTTTCTGATTCCTCTTTCCACCGCATTTTGGATTCCAAAAATTCTGGGTTCCCTTTTTGTGCGAAAAATGGCTTAATCTGGGGAGTGAAATGCGAAAAATAAAACTCCAGAAAATCGTAGGGGAATTTCTCTAATTTTTATTAGAGGCGTAAACTATTGAAAAACAAAAAGCTGTTTATAATGTTCTAAACATGTTCTCTCCTGACGACAACGTGGCTGTTTGCATCTTTTCTTATCATCTTCCATCTGTCATTATATAAGCCTGCGTAGCAAGCGGTTTTCTCGGGTGTAATTTTCGTTAGGGTTTCATTAAGTTAAAGATACAGCTGCGCGCGCGAACAGTTAAACCGAGGGCAAGGAGGAAGAGGCGAGAGAAAGAAAGTCAGCATAGTTTTCTTGTTTGAAATCAGTTCAGCATTCGCGCGGCGTTTCCCTTACTTCACAAAATACAAACGAAAACCACCCCAAAAAAACCTCGCCTGCTACGCACGCTGGCTATCTGTCACTTTGATTTTAAGGGGAGTAATTCGAAGTAACAGATGAAGCAGAACCGCAAGCATATTACAAAGAGATGGTTTTTGCCAGGACGTATGCCTTATTGTTTACGCATGTCTTAAGGGTGGACAAAGTTGCCGAGGTCAGCAATCACTCGGTGGGAATGATTTAAGGTATCCAGTGTCCAGGAACACCGACTTCGCATGGCTCTAAAGGCCCCTTGATGGCGTGTACTATGGAAGCTGCAACTCCACTGTGAAAAGTTGTTCTATTTCATCATCTGAAACAATCTGAAGGATACAATAAAAGTTAAGACTTGATAGATTGGCATATGAACTCATTAGAAAGCTCTATGTATCAAATACAAGCAAATCAACTATTAAACGTGCGTTCAACATATCATTAGCTTCTGCCGTAAGAGATATGAAGCCTTTTAAACTTGAGAAATGAAGTTCATTCAAGAGAAGAAAACTCTCCAATCTGCTGGTCTCTAAATATTTTCTCTTTGAAAAAATATTGCTTAATTGAACACATGTATCCATGAAAATTAAGGACACAATCAGCAAGTATCAGGGTCTTGTTTGCTAAACAAATTCTTTCCAACTGTATGGAGAATAGCTTTGCGAACATAAAGAGACTGGGTGCAGGCTAATAGCCAGAGAAAACAGTTGACATCTCGTAACGCCACTGGGGAAGTTCCCCACGAATATGACCTGGGGCACCCAACGTCAATTTTCGGAAAATATCTGTTAGGAAGACGATTTGAGATCTAGAATTTTCGGAACATTTGTTGTTAAATTTCTTGCTTGCCTGCCTCTCCTTGGATTTACGAACATCTAAAAAATGGTATACTTGCCCATTTTTAAACGGATTTTTACCCTACAAAGGTCACCCAGAAGTTTCGGGAGCCTTTTTTCGTGGCTGAAATTTTCGAAAAGGTAAGTCTTGATCCCTATAACTTTCGGATCACTAGACTTTCAGCTAGGAAATCCGAACAGATGAAAAATTTTAAAGGGGATTAAAATATGCCTATATCTACCGTTTAAATACTAAAATACGTTCAACAATGCTATGTTAGATTGGTTTTGAACTATGTTCTCGTTGGGTGCCCCTGACGTCCGATGAACGAGCACAGAAATACCACATTGATGACGGATAAATACCCAGACCTGGGCAGTGATTCTGATTGGTCGGGCTGCTTGGGAAATTTGTTTCAATCAGTCAGAAGCCCTATCCTATGACACGTCATCAATATGGAATTTCTGCGCTCGTTCCTCAGACGTTATAGTCACGGCGAAACTAGTAGTGGCGTCGCGATATCTCGGCTGTTTTCTTAAGCTACGTGCAGGTTGTCGCTGTTCGATTCAGGTTTCCTCTTTCTATTCAAGTTGGCTTAGCATGAAAATGATCAAATCCCTAGACTACGAACAGTCTCTCTTTTTTCTGTAGTCCGTCGAGCAAAACGCGAGACACGCAAATGGCCACGCGCGTGACTGATGGCGCGAGATGGGAGATGGTTATGAGGCAAACGCGTAGTTCATTGGCTCTGGCTAAGCGGGCAGTCTCTCTTTTTCTTCTCGGGCTGCCGCCCTCGTTTCGCGCCTCTCGCGGCTTCGCCGCTCTCGCGCGCGTGCACTCCCCTTACTAAACCGGAAGAAAAAGAGAGACTGCTCACAGTCTATCAAATCCCTTACATTAGTGAATTCCTCAAATGACACTTTGGAATCTTGCTGCAGGTTGGTCCTGCTGAGAATTCCTGCTATCAGTTCCAGCACTTGGTCATCTGTCAGTACAGGTCCTGTCACCATTCTAAACAAACTGAACAACGCACGGTATGTTAACTGTCCATTGCCATCAGTGTCCAGAACTTGAAATGCAACTGCAGTTAACAAACCATGAACAATCATCACATTATGAGATAAATAAATCATCAGCATCTACTTATGCTAAGGTGGGCACAGAGTCTCACAGAACGACTGGGGCAAGTTTTAAGACCTACACCATTTTAGCAGGGAAAAGTTATCATAATCGCTATTAAAACTATTTGGACTATAAAAGGGGCTTTTGTTAATTATCCTTTAGAGCGGTTTTCACTTGACTGTCGTAAAACCAAAACCAAAGTAAATACACTAGCCAACCAAAGGACGTAGTAAAACCAAAACCAAAACCAAAACCAATCCCAATTCGACAGTCAAGTGAAAACCGCTCTAAGGCAACCGGTGAAAATCACCGCCAACTTTGATGTCGCAATTTTACGTGCAGTAGGTGATGCGCAGAGCAAAACAAGGGGACATATGCATTGAAAGGTGAATAATGTGACAATAAATTTTGTTTGTCTCTTATACGGGAAGGTTGGAAAAAATTGCAGAGAAGAGATTAAAAATGCATGTGGGACAGACACAACATGAATGACTGATTAAATGACACATTAACTACAATAATAACTCACATTCCTTCCTGTCATCAAGTGAGTTGCGTGGACTCAGTCTCGACAGCATGTTGATAAATGACCTGTATGTTATCTTGCGTGATCTTGAATCAAGGTGAGCAGAGGCCACTTTAGGCATTATTGGATTGGTTGATATTTCTGGTATGTCCAAAAACTGTTTCAATGTTATACCACCATTTCTGCCATCTGGATCATAGCGTGCAAATCTCTTCATCAGCTTGGGTATCTCTTTTGTACTGACTGCAATAAATATTCAGCCGGACTCTGTTATGACTATACAGGAGCACCTAACGTCAATTTTCGGAAAATATCTGTTCGGAAGACGATTTGAGATCTAGAATTTTCTGAACATTTTTTGGTAAAATTCTTGCTTGTTTATCCCTCCTAGGATTTTCGAACGTCTAAAAAATGGTATAATTGCCCATTTTTAACGGATTTTTACCCTAAAAGGTCACCGAGAATTTTCAGGAGTCTTATTTCTGGCTAAAACTTTCGAAAAGGTAAGTTTTGATCCCTATAATTTTCGGATCACTAGACTTTCAGCTAGGAAATCCGAACAGATGAAAAATTTTTAGGGGATAAAAATATGCCTATATCTACCGTTTAAAAACTAAAATACGTTTAACAAGCTATGTTTAAGTGTCTTTGAACTATAATCTCGTTGGGTGACCCTGACTATACTTAGGCTAAGGTAAATTGGGCAATGAAATACGTTAAACTTGTTTTGCAGCATTACTGCAAAAGTATTTGAAAAGCAGTGTTGCACATTTTACCACCCACGTTCAAACCTGTCTGGCAAAAAAGTCAGGTTGTTACAAGTTGCGTGAATACTGTCTCCCCGTGCGGGACTGTCTCCTGACTGGATAAAATTATGCGGGTGTCAGTTATGTCACTTGTTGCATGACAAGTTTTCCATGTGCCAGTAAAACGCACAATTATTCTGGTTCGTTTTTTCTAAAAGTAGAACAACTCTCCGCTTTCTGCAACAACTTTGCAACCTGCAACAACCTGATATGTTGCAAGACAGGTTTGTCCCGTGGGTTGTAAAAAGTGCAACATTGCTATTCAGCTCGTTTGCAGGAATGTTGCAAAACAAGTTGCACGGTTTTGCTACTTGTTTTACTGTAACCACATGTGCCCCTTACGTCCTAACAGAGATGTCAAGCTCTGGAGATCTAAATTTTGAGGCTGTCTCTTTTTAAGAACCCCCCTTCCAATATCAACCCAACGCCAGCACCAGGGGTCAATTTAATAAAAACTTTTACACATGTAATTTACAAGTGTAGCTATTGTTCTCAGACTCTAAAACAATGGCTACACTTGTAAAATACACATGTAAAAGTTCTATTAAATTGACCCTAGTCCCCAAATCGTAACATCCTCATGACCTGTGCCTTTTAATATTGAGGAAAGAGAGAAGAACAGAAGAAAATAAAAAAACAACACAAAAACAAAAATGATGAAACTGACTCAAAGTTAATTTGTCAAAGTATTTTGAAGAGATTAAGAGGCACTACAGGTTATTTCGGCTGCAAAATGTCTGTTCTTTTACACATAAGAGGTATTGTGGACCTACTTTGAGACGCAAAGACATTTCTTTCACCTTTTACAAGATACATTTGCATCTTATTTATGATACCTCTTCTATAAGACACATCATATTTTTCCATATTTCTAATAATCGCCCTATGATGTTTTCTTACGCTGTACACATACAGTTTGAATTAGCTTCCAGTTCTCTCACTTCCTCCTCACTGGCAAGAGATGCTCCAGTTCCCTAATCATAAACAAACAAAAAACAAAAAATAAACAATCATATAATTAGGAATAAATGGAAATAGTTATAGAAATGCCAACAACACCAGTCTTCTACAGTCTGTTAATTACGAGATAATTGCCTGTTAACTGCCCTCTTGAAGTCACCCTTTCCATGGGTTAAATATCTGCTGATGTCCAATGGTCCCAGAGCAGCCCATCAGACCTGTTGTTGTCTGACTGGCAAGC